GGGAGGAATAATAGTGTTCATGTGTCAAAATACCCAAAAGAAGCAGATAAAGGAGAAAAGGTTAAGAAAGAGATGAAAGCATTATGCAAAGAAACCAATTAACGACAAGTGGAATCAGAGATTTTGAAAACCAGGGATACGAATTTTAAAAGTAATAGCGTTGCCATAAATAATGATGCCCTTGAAATCAACAGTCAAACTTGACTGTAAGAAGAATATCCCAGAAAACGCTGGTCTGTCTTCGTATCTTCTGCTTCCTCAAGGGACTTCCCACCCATGTAACTTCGAATTATGTTATCCTCATATTTAAGTTCAAATCTTCACATTGGGAGTGGGAATCCAGCCAGCCGTATATGTAGCATTATAACCTCAAACAGCCAAGTAATTTAAATACTAATATTTGGAAAATCTACAGAAGTAAAAAATTGATAATGCATTTGAACATTGCTTTTATCCTTTTACTGGAGTAACAGATAAGTAAAAGTAACAGTAAAGCCTTTGGTAGTAAAATACCAGTTTTCTCACAACAAAATTCTCCCTGGGAGCAAGCGTACCGGATTTGACATGAATGGCAGGTGTGGAAAGCTGGAGGAGGAAAACAGGGAAGGAGCAGGAGTTTTTTCCTCCCCCTTCCCCTCTAGTGTGAGACATCCCAGATAGTCAGTCAGAGGAGAGCACGTGCTTTGAGAACTCCAGTTTCTGGCTTTTAACTCGGAGATCACCAGGACTGGTCAAAAGCTCCCCCCGCCTTCTAATTCAGAATCAGGACATCCTCAGTCAGAACATAAATGAAACAGGGGAATGGAGGTAGGAGGGACTTTGCTTCTCATAAAGAAATTGGAACAAACACAAGGAAAAGATCTAGCTAAGAATATGCTCTTTTTGTAACGCTGCAATTCATAAGTCCTTCACCAATCCATTGAGTGTACTCAAGAAATGCCTTTGCTGCACCACGTTTCTTCTGTTCCCAGATTGTCCCAGAAAGGGCTGATTAGAGAACAGTTCATCTCCAGCCTCCAGAGGTGTGTCGGACACACCTGCACAATGGACACAAGGGACCTAGAACCAGAAAGACTGATCAATCCATCACTAGCCAGACTCTGGAGACCTGGAATGGCAGGAGGAAACGGCAAAAGTTTTTATGCTGGTATGATGACCTGTTGCAGGAAAGATCTCACTTACTCTGCAAGTTATATAGTATGTGGAAGAGAGGGTCTGGAAAACAAGTTTGGATTTAGGTTTTCCAACTGTACACAAATTCCCCTCTACTTATCTTTGCCTTTTGTTGGCTCTTTTGTGATTGAGTGAGTTATAGATAGTGCAAGGACAGGTTTTTGCATGCCAGGCTTTTTATATAGATTCCATCTGACGGGAAAAAAAAATTAATTACATGGGGATTTCTGGATATTCAGGCAACATTTTTGATTGATCAAACTGAACTTGGGTGAGAGCTTAGGTACTTGTTTTTTGAAACCGTTCTCCATCCGAAAATTTTACACACCCGCTTTGATGCATGAAAAACCTTCCAAGCAACTCCAAACTTTCCATGCTGTTTTGACATTCATTCAACCATGGTATCAGTGCTGTTCAGACGTGTCTTCTCAATAAATGTACTT